GATTTTAACACAGACTTCTAGGGATCACAATTCACCTACCACAGCCTGCCACTCAAGGTCACACGTAGCTGACATGAAGAACACATTAACCCCATCCCAGGGTCCCCCAAAGTCTCGGTGCATTAGTGCATCGGCCAGAGTCCATGCCCCCCCCACCTCCTCAAGTCGGAAGCTTGGACAGCCCGCATCATGCACTCAGTGTAGGTGGGGCTCAGGGGTCCCAGCGCAGTTTCCCCTGGGAACCTGGCCAACTCGGGAATGTGGTGAGGACAAAGTGAGTTCACACACAGAAACCCAGGAGCAAGGCACAGGCAGACGCAGGCTGACGGTCACAGGTACTGCCATTTAGAAAGGAAGAAAACAAGCCAGGCGTGATGGCACACGCCTGTGGCCCCAGGACTCAGGAGGCTGAGGCAGGAGGATCACCATGACTTCAGAGTCAGCCTGGGCTACACAGTGAGTTCAAGGCCAGCCTAGAGTACATCGTGAGACCCTGTCTTGGAAAAACCAAGTAATGACAAGTGTGGCTAGGCTAAGAATTCTCCAAATCATGAGGTCAGGGTTTTTTGTTTTGGGGATATTGGGAACTGAACTCAGCACCTCTGTGCTGAGCTACATCCCCAGCCCATTTTTAAATTTTGAGACATAGTCTTGCTAAGTTGCTAAGGTGCCTAGGATGGGATAGAACTTGCAATCTTCCTGCCTCAGCCTCCCAGCATACTGAAATTATACACATGCACCATCGTACTGGACAGAAGTCCTGATTTCTTTTTGCCTGTTTTTACCTCAATTTATGTTTCTTCTTGCATTTTTAGGCTTCTTTTCCATGAGTGTATGTTTGCAGTACATAATAATCACATTTGTGGTGGGGATTTGGGACAGACATGACTCCCCTCTTCCCTAAACCGTACCTGTCTCCATTTCTGACCATCTATCTTTTTGTTTGTTTGTTTTTTGTCTTTTTGAGACAGGGTCTCACTATGCAGTTCAGGCTGGCCTTGAGCTCTTTGTAGCCCAGGCTGGTCTCGAACTCCCAATGATCCTCCTGCCTCAGCCTCCCAAGTGCTGGGGTTACAGGCGTGTGCCACCACGCCCGGCCTGACCATCTATCTTTTATTTTGCTCTTTATTTAGATTTTGAGTTTCTTACACAGGGACCCAGATAAAGCCAGCCCTGGCTGCAGTGGGGCATGGTTTATTGGCTTTGGGCTCAGCTTTAGTCACCCCATGGGGACAGAGCAGACCTGCTTCACCCAGCCTGCTGTGACCTGAACAAATCCCACTCCTGTGAGGTGAGGGCAGTGGCTGTCGCTCCAGCAGCCAGTGTCCTCAGAGATGGTCGCCGCCCTCCCACTGAACCGCTGTGACTACGGTTCTGCAGGCACCCAAGAAGGGGCCGGCTCAAAGCTTCCCTGAGATGACCCACCCCATCGAGTGAGCTTGGTTGTGACTCCTACAAATTCGATCATGGGTCCATCTCCTATTCTCATATGAAGAGAACAATGTCGTGGCCATGCACACCTGCAGCCTTGGCTGTAGCACTGGGGAGGCTGAGACAGAAGGATCACTGAGCCCAGGAGTTTGCTACCAGCCTGGGCAACATAGTAGGATCTAGTCTCAAAAGAAAAGACCTCTCCATCTTACCCTTTTTTTTTTTTTTTGAGTTGGGATCTCAGTAAGTAGCCCAGGCTGACCTCAAACTCGTGGCGAGTCTCCCACCTCAGCCTCCCAAGTTCCTGGGTTACAGGCGTGCGCCACCACACCCGGCTTTACAGTGAAGTTTTAAGCACACTTTGCACATATATAGCCCGCTGGCTGCGTGTCTTTGGCATAGTTGTCACGTTTGGCAGGGAGAACACACATCAGAGTCCCCAGCAGGCCAACCGGAGGCCGCCCCCCAGCAGCTCTCAGGCAGCACAGGCCTGTTTAGAAATCCAGGGTGGTTTCTTGCACCAGATGTTGCCTTCTTCAGCTGCAGCTGGGCAAGCTGAGGCAGTGCTAGCAAAGCAGCTGCCTGGCCGGGTGTGATGCAGCACGCCTGTAATCCCAGCACACTGGGAGGCTGAGGTGGGGGGACTGCAAATTAGAGCTCAACCTGTAAGGGCAGACGGGCTGAATTCCACAGAAGACCAAAGAACTCTATTTAAGGCAAACAGAGTTTACTGAATGTAGGCCGGCTACAGTGCATCTCTCAACGAACAAGTTGAGAGACATTGGTGCCTTCCTCATCTTCATTTCCACCTTAAGTACATTTTTGGTTCCCCTGGTAACAGAAGGGAATGTTACAGCCGTTGACTCAGATGGCTGCACGTTGTTTTCTCGTCCGGGTGGCCGCATCAGGCCCCGTCATGAGCGCAGCCGTTATGAAATATACTTCCTGAGCGCTGTTCTGTTTGTTCCCCTTCTTACACCTATACATTCCTTTCGGGTTACAGTGTTAGCTAGGGCCAGGGAAGGGATGAAGCCTCCCAGGCAGGGTCATAGACGATGATCTGGGCCCGGGTGTTCTTTATCTTTGGAGAGACATTCCAGGGCAGAGGCGACTGCAAAGTTAACTTTCTATAACTCCTCCGGGATGTTTCTCAAGACAGATTTTGAGACTTGTATTAAGACTAAAACTATTCTATTTTACAAATGATATGCTAAGAGTCGCCGTCCCCTACAAGCCTAGGCAATTTAATGACTTAGTGAGACCTTGTCTCAAAATTTTAAGAAAT